GGTGAGCAAACAATCCTAGAAGCTGGATTATAAGAAGAAGCTGGTGGTATCAGGATTGGAGAAGATCCATTAACAACCTGCTATACACAGATAATACAACCTTGCTTACTAAAATTGAAGAGGACTTAAAATATTTGATGATGAAGATCAAAGACTTTACTCTTTCAATATGGATTGCATCTCAATGTAAAGAAAGCAAAAATCTGTTCAACTGGCTTAATAAATATCGTGATAAATGGAGAAAAGATAAAAGTTGTCAAAGGTTTCAATTTGCTTGGATCCACAATCAATAATCATGAAAACAGCAGTCAAGAACTCAAACAGCATAATGCATTAGGTAAGTCTGAAGCAAAAGACATCTTTAAAGTATTCAAGAGCAAAGACATCAGTTTGAGGATTCAGATACACCTGTCCCAATCACCTCATTTGCATGTGAACTTCTGGTATAGTGCTGTAGGATCAGCATTTGACTGTGAATCACAAAGCTGGCAATTCAAACCCACGAGCTGTTCCTTGGAAACCCTATACAGGGTTGCTAAGAGTCAAAACTGAATTGACAGCACTTAACAACAACAACACAGGCATGTGAAATTGGGACAATCAAAGTTGAACAATGCCGTCTCATGTTGGAGAAGAATACTGAAAGTACCATGGACTTCCAGAAAAACAAACAAATCTGTCTTGGAAGAAGTAGAGGCAGAAAGCTCCTAACTGGACCAACAAATAACATCCTGATAAAGAAAAGACTGAAGTTGCCAAACACTTCATTTTGCTTGAATCCACTATCAACACACACTTAAACATCAGTCAAAAAATCAAAGGACGTATAGCGTTAGGCAAATCTGATACAAAACACCTTTTCAAAGTGTTAAAGATCAAAAATACCCAAGCCAAGGAAAGCATAGGAAAGTTGGAAAATGATTAAGGGAGACTACAGAAGAATTGATGCATTTAAATTATGGTGTTTGTGGGGAATATTCAAAGTACCATGGATTGCCAAAAGAACAAAGACATTTGCCTTGGTAAAAGGACAGCCCAAATACTTCTCAGAAGCAAGGATGGCAAGACTTTGTCTTTAGTTCTTTGGACATGTTTGCAAGAGGGATCAGTTCCTGAAGAAGGACATGATGTCTGGTAAAATAGAGGGTCAGAGAAAAAGAGGAAGACCCAACGAAATGGACTGACAAAGTAGCAGCAACAATGGCTTCAAACATAACAGCACTTGTGAGAATGGCGCAGGACCATACCGTGTTTAGTTCTTTGTTCGTAAGGTGACGATGAGTGAGAACTAACTAGAGAGCAGGTAAGAACAGTAATAAGGATGATGTAATATATCCTCATGAACTAAGGAAGGAACATTGATGTGGGCTTAAGGAAAAGGAAGTTTCTTTGATTCCATAAAAATATAAATTGAAAAAGACTTGAACATATCAGAAAATATGTTGTTGTTATTTAAGTGCTGTGAAGTCACTTCTGACTCATGTTGTTGTTAGGTGCCATTAGAGTTGGTACTGACCTACAGCAACCGTATGCACAACCATGACTCATAGTGATCTTATATAGGGTTTCCAAGGAGTGACTGGTGGGTTTGAACTGCTGAATTTTGTTAGAAGTACAGTGTTTATCTTATAGTGCCACACCAGGACTCCATCAGAAAATATAAGAATGTATAAAATGAAAATCAGTGAATAGTAATAAGGAAAGAGGCAACTTACATGAGGGGGCTTCAAAAGGTGCATGGAAAAATTCTTTTATCTTTTAATTACATTTTTCCACGCACTTTCTGAAGCTTCCTCATATTATATGTATTTATATATATGATAAAAGTATTTTAAGTAATTTGAAATACAGAAAAAAATATGAATGAGCACATAATTAAAAATATAGTAGTCCTTGCTTATGAACTGTTGTCTGTTTAAATGCATCTGCTCATGAATGTTATTGCCACAAACCTGTCTCTTCATGACAAGTTAGTAGTGTCAGCCATGAAGCAATTTATTCTCCTGTCAAAAATCTGCCTATATTATTCTGGTATTCTAAAACAAATTCTGGTAGAAAGCCACAATTACTTGATGCATACTGGCAGAAAAGTGATTTGTCTACGGTTCAAGCTGATGGCTCTCTGCCTAACTCAACTGAATTGCATCAGGAACTTTTTGCTTTCATTTCCATTCAGAAATCAATTTCTTTTGTAAAAAGCTAAATCCAAAGAGACATTAATTTTTACAAGGCAAATAAGCTTTCAGAGCACCATTTAAGCATTAAGTTGAACTAGATGTCTTTCATCCTCATCTTTCACCTCACTCTGAACAATAGAGTCTAAAGTCCAGAGCAACAAACAATGGTTAAGAATATGGGCTCAAATCCCAGCTTTGACTCATATCAGTTGTATTATCACAGATAAGCAATTTACCATTTTAAGCCTCAGCTCCTCATTCATAATATTGCATGAGATTCAAAACAACACTGACCTCGCAGGGATATGTGACGGTTCAATGAGAATGCATATAAAGAGTTCAGTAAGCACTTGGTTCCTAGTAATTCCTCAATGAATTTTATTTTTCAACAAATAGTGATTGGACCAGTGCTCTTCAAATGACTGGAAATACAGTTATACTAATTGTGAAATACATTTCTGGCCCTAATGGAACTAACATTTTACTTAGGGAAGAAAGACAACTAAAAATACATCACATAATATAATGTAAGAATTTAGATAACCATGGCAAAGAAAAATTAATGATATAAAGGAGGAGAAAAAGCCAGTAAGGTTTTATTTCACATATTTTGCTGTTGCTTTAAGTGCCAGTGCATTGGTTCAGACTTATAGTGACCCTATGTAGAGTTTCTGAGGCTTTAAATCTTTGGAGCAGCAGAGAACCTCATCTGTCTCTCATGGAGCAACTTGATGGCCTTGAACTACTGATGCTGTGGTTCACGTCTAGTGCTTACCATATGGAATCACCAGTAATTACCAAAGGCCTCTCTAAATAAGTAACACTTGAGCAGGAAACTGGACAAAAAGCAGTCATGTGCAGGTCCAAGTGTTTGCTGATATGAAGATAATGATGATGTTGGATAATCAACAGTCCCCATTTACAACAATACATTCCACATCTTTACATAGACTTTGGGAGGCAGTATGGGAAAAATCAGCCAGAGGTTGGTGAGGAGTAGGTAGCTTGGGTACCTAATAACTTCGTAAGAATAGGAAAGTTAAATCACTTCTCTTAGCTTGATTTTCTATTTTACTAGATCTCTGAATGTGTATAGATATGAGTATGAAGATGAAAAAGAGACTACATTGTCTGCTGTGTCCTCTAATCAGGAATTATGATGATATATTTTCTTAGGTAAAAGCAGAAATAAATCAGGAAGAGAGGAGAAAGCTGCTATAAAACAGAAATTACATTGGGACCAAAACATCCTTTAGGTAGGCTAAAATGAAGTCAAGCATGATGAAAATTAGACATTTGATAGCACATTTTACAGTCAATTACATTAACTTCTTACACAAATTAAATCAAGAAGTAGATTCCAGTTAAAGAAGTACAAACAAGTTTTCAAAGGAAGCTATGTATGATAGATAATACCACCATCACAAAATCCATATCAATTTCCTCTCCACTCATAATTGAAACTCATTTAGCTTTCATAATCTCTGCTTTGTAATTTTCTTTTAAAAGGGTATCATTACTCTTTAAATCATGAGTGTAGTAATATTTACAACATACTAATAGAATGATTTGCATATTTCAAATGTTGTTGTTGTGAAGTGCCGTCAAGTCAGTTCCGACCCATAGCGACCCCATATACGGTTTCCGAGGAGGAGCTGGTGAGCTTGAACTACCAACCTTGTAGTTCAGTCGGCCTTGCAGTTTGGTGCATTAACCCACAGTAGTTAAATTCAAGTTAATAATGTGATAAACTTTAAATTTCTACCTCATAAAACAATCATATGCAGCCCCTTAATCTTACGTAGCTTTCAGCGGGCACTCTCTGGCAGATTGAGTGCTTGGTTTTAAGATTTTCTTATATTTTTTTTTATGAATGTCCAAATATATGTTTCCCCCTTCCCTCCCAGACTTGTGTGGCCAATGAGAAGTGTCTTGTTTGTGTTCATCTCACTCTCATTTCTAGAGAAGGAGCTGAGACCCTGCCACATCTTCTACGTTCTGCATTTATGCCTCTTTTGGACATTAAAGGTTGACTGACGTTAAAAAAAAAAAAAAAAAAGATAATACCACCACGGATTTTTTTTTTTATGAGTAATGCTATAAAATGGTGAGATAATCCATTTTTAAGTAGGGAAGAGACATTATAACTGACCAGATAACAATCCAGAAAATCTACTTCATCTACAGAAGCTCACTTCATGAAAAATTTTATATAAAGAGGGCTACAACCTTACCTAAAATTACATATTTCTACTCAAGTCTAGATCTGCAATTAAATGTTTAAGTTGTATGGATTTGGTCTCTCAAATTAGGCCTGTTTAGAATTGGAAACAAACATCAAATAATTTGTTCAGATATTTTTAAGGCTTTCAAAAAAAGGCAAACCAAACCTGTTGTTTTTGAATTGATACTGATTCATAATGATCTTCTAAGACAGAACAGAACTGCACCATAAGGTTTCTATGACTGTAAATCTTGACAGATGCAGACTTCCATAACTTCTTCAGGGGTGAATCTTCAGACAATATAAATATTTGACAGACTTGTAAAATGGAGCATCAATATTTCTGAAATTTCAGTGGTATATCCTGAATCTAATGTGGATAAAAATGATCTTCACTGATTTTTTTTTTTTTTAAATACTAGTATTTACTGAAACAAGGAATTCCATGCTTCGATTGCATTAGTAATAGTGGTAATCGTACAACCCTTTATTTTTTAATTTCTGGCGAGTAACTTAAATATTTTATTTATGATGGGAAATGCTCATTGAAAAACCATTCTTAAAAACATGTACATATATGCACAGAGAAATGAACCTACCTTGGCAATTGGATTCAGCAGAACTACACCTGACTTCTTAGTGATGACCTGTTTTGTTGTGTAGTGATGATCTATAAGTTGAGGGATGTTGGAAAATCCAGTGCCTTCGAATCTATATAGATTCTGGAATGAGAATTATTACGTTGAATAAATAAATATACAGACTTTGAATCAAAAAAATTACATCCATCAATGAATTAAATTTTATTTTAAAAAATTAACAGAGATCTGAAATGTATATTTATAAAAAATAACCAAAGGCATCAAGAAGTAAGATTACATATATGCTCCATTTGATAAAAGATACAAAATGTCAGAAGTTGAAAGATGTATATCCAATGTAGTAATAAATATTCAAAGAATACTTCTGTTGATTTTATATTCTACTTATGACCATAGTATTAACTGGTTTTTCTATACTGGGGTTATTTTTGCATTGCGCATTCACTAAAAACATTCAGTTATCCACAAAACCTTTGGCAAAAATATAAAATGTACCAGTGACAGAACTGCAGACACTAGAATGCTCCTAGCTTATATTTTTAAAAATTTCTTTATCAGGTAAGTAACATTTTCCCAAATATCTTTTCACAATTATATTTCAAATAGGTTGACTATCATATATAGATGAAATAATAATCATAAATATGTTGCTGTTGTTGTTAAGTGCCATCACGTCAGTTCCGACTCATAGCGACCCTGCATAGAGTTTCCAAGAAACAGCTAATGGGTTTGAAATGCCGATCTTGCGGTATACAGCCCAATGCCGATCCACAGTGCTGCACCAGAAGTTCAATCATAAACACAGCAAAGAAAAATACTTAATTCGCCATGACTTTCCAATGCAGGAAGCACTGCACTATAATTTAATGAAACTTCATCTAACTAGTCACAAGGTGCTCACCTGTATATACAACAAATGTGAGTGTGATCCATTAAAAAAAAATCTACATTAACAAATTAAAACTTTGAAAACTGTCTAACGCTGTGTACTATTTTCCTAGTTAGCAGAAACTTCAAAATTTCTTTTGCACAGCATAAAATTCCATTTACTAGACTATTTCTATTTTACCAAGTAAAGTGCAAACATGCATTCATTTTCATTTAATACTTAAAATTGTGGAGTATAATTCAGCTTATTTAATTTGTATAGAGTCCATTTTCAGGGCAGCTATTAATAAACTGGTTTAAAAACCTTTACACAAAACAGCAAAATCTAATAAGATCTATGAACATGCCTGCCTAGGAATATTTCACACTGAAGAAACGAATATACTAATAGGTATGAAATACACTGAGCAAGTTACTAATCTCTCCATGTGTCAGTTTATTCATAGGTGAAACAGACATAATCTTTGCACCTCCTCACAAAATAACTAAGACTTGAATAAGTATAATCATGCAAACCACCTTGCTGAATATGTTGCCTATATTAATAGATAGATCAAATGTGCAATTAAGATGTATTGATAATTTTGGCAATTGTAATGCATAGGTTGGAAACAAAGAGTGGGGATAGTAGTTGGAAAGTATGGCCTTTGTGACAAAAATGATGCTGGAGATCACATGATAGAATTTATCAAGTACAATGAGTTCTTCATCACAAACACCAAAAGACTTCTGTGATGAAAACAGCTACATCATACAGGAAGAAAGCAAAAGGTCATTAAAAAGACAAAAAAAGAAGAAAAAGACCAAAATGGATGTAAGAAGAAACTCTGAAGGAGCCAGACTATGAAGAAAGACACCACATTTGCTAAAGTGCAGGGTCTGAGAAAAAGAGGAGACCCCCCCCCAACAAGAAGGACTGGCACAGTTGCAGCAGCAATGGGCTCAAATGTAGTAACAATTGTGAGGTTGACACAGTACCAGGTTCATTCTATTGTGCATTGGGTTACTATGAGTCAGTACCAACTCAATGGCATCTAACAACAACAATTCTTATATTACGCAAGTGAGAAAAAAATAAAGAGATTTAGGCAATTATAGATAAACAACATGTAATAACAGTACCAACAATGCTTCAATCTAATATACTAGTTTTCTCTTTGTCCTCCGGTCTGCTTTTAAGACATTGGTAAAGGGGTTAGTCCATGTGATCATGTTATTACTCTCAGAATAAAACTCGTACTACGAGTAATGCAAGGGGTTAGCACTGTTGTTGTTGTTAGGTGCCATCAAGTCAGTACCGACCCACAGCGACATTATGCACAGCAGAACGAAACACTGCCCAATCCTGGGCCAACCTCACTACTGTTGTCACGCTTGAGTCCATCGATGCCTGCCACTTGGCCAATCCATCTCGTTTGGGGGTCTTCCTCTTCTTATCTGACCCTCCACCTTACCAAACATGATATCCTTCTCCAGCGACTGGTCCCTTCTGACAATATGTCTGAAGTATGAGAGACGAAGTTTGGCCATCATGGCCTCCAAGGAGCACTCTGGCTGCACTTCTTCCAAAATGGATTTGTTGGTTCTTTTGGCAGCCCATGGCACTTTCAATATTCTCCTCCAACACCATAACTCAAAGGCATCAATTCTTCTACGGTCTTCCTTATTCACTGTCCAGCTTTTGCATGCATATGAGGTTACTGAAAATACCATGGCTTGCATCAGGCACACCTTAGTCCTCAAGCTAACATCTTTGGTGTTCAACACTTTAAAAAGGTCTTGTACAGCAGATTTGCCTAATGCAAGATGGTATTTGAAATGAACAAATCATTGGTTTTGCAGAATTCTACCATGCATTCTCCAGCATCATTTCTATCACCAAGGCCATATTTTGAAGTACTGATCCTTCCTCTTTGCTCCCAACCTATGCATTCCAATCACCAGTAAAGATCAATACATCTAGATTGCATGTTTGATCAATTTCAGATTGAAGAAGTTGTTAGAATTCTTCTATTTCATCCTCACTGGCTTTAGTGGTTGATGTGTAAATTTGAATAATACTGGTTTCCCTGGGTTTCTGGTAGGCACATGGATATTATCCTATCACAGACAGCGTTGTACCTCATGACTGATCTGGATATGTTCTTTCTAACAATGAATTCAACACCATTCCTCTTCAATTTGTCATTCCCAGCATAGTAAACCATGTGGTTGTCAGATTCAAAATGGCCAATACCAGTCCATTTCAGCTCACTAGTGCCTAAGATATCTATTTTTATGCATTCCATTTCATTTTTGACAACTTCCAATTTTCCCAGATTCATACTTCGCACATTCCATGTTCTGATTATTAATGGATGTTTACAGCTGTTTCTCTTCATTTTGAGTTGTGCTTCAGGAGCAAATGAAGGTCCTGCGGGCTTTTCTCCCAAGGAGTTTTACTCTATTCCTGTTATCACAGTCAAGTCTACTTTTGAGGAGGCAGCTCTTCCCCAGTAGCATTTTGAGTGCCTTCTAACCTGAGGGGCTCATTTTCCAGCACAATATGTGACAGTGTTTCTCTGCTATTCATAAGGTTTTCAGTGACTAAATATTCGGAAGTTGTTCATCATTCTTTCTTCCTAGTCTGTCTTCATCTGGAAGCTCATCTGAAACCTGTCTACCATGTGTGACCCTGCTGGTATTTAAAATACCCGTGACATAACTTTCATAATCACAGCAACTCCCAAGTCACCACAGAATGACAAACTGACATACGAGTCATGGCTGTTTTGGTTTTAAGTGGAAACTGCCACTTTAAATTTCGAGACAATCTTTAAGCCCATGTTTAACAGAACTCTCCAGGGGGGGAGTTATCATACTCAGTGACTAATTAAAAGGCTGCAAATTCAAGCCATCCTAGATACTTCAGAAGAAAGGTCTAGAGATCTACTTTTGAAAAATCAGCTATTGATAACTAAACAGAGTATATATATAAATATATATCTATACATATTTAAGACACATGATGCTTCCATTAGTCAGAGTGACTTAATAGCAACTGGTCACAGCTGACAATAGCCTATGTAATCAGTCTGTCTCCCATCCCCTCTCTTACCTCATCTCATAACCACTATCCCCAGTTATTCACTTCCCTACAGCCACACTTCCCTGTTTCTTGTTCCACAGAAATGCTATACAGAATCTTCTTCAAAGCATTTATATTTACTGCTTCAACTACTTCCTCAGACAGCCATATCCTTCCTTCTAGTCTTCCACTAAATGTCATAATTTCAGTGAGGTGTACCCTAGTGAATATATACAATTTCAATATCCATTTCTTCACCCCAACCAAATTTCTTATTTCCATTTATTGATCAAATTTTTCTCCTTAGAATTTATCATTAATCTGACATCAGATATCTTGTTCACTTGTTTGTTTACACCTTTAACTATAAGCTCACTGAACAACAGATTTTACATTCGCTTTGACATCACAGTATCCCCAGACCTACAATAGTTTCTAGTTATATAGCCTGAGTCAATAAACATCTGTAAATGCAGTGCATATTAAATGACAACTAAGAAAGACCCTGTTAAGGTTTCCAAGAAGCAGCTGGTTACTTTGAACTGCTGACCTTGCAGTTCAAACCAATTCTGGGATCTAGTGCTTATCCTACAGTGCCAAACTAAGACTCCATGAAGAATTTGTTGTTATTAAGTGCCGTCAAGCTATTTCTGAGTCATAGCGACCCTGTTTAGAATTTTTGAGGAATAGCTGGTGATCTCGAACCACTGACCTTGGGGTTCAACCCAACTTTGCAGTCCAGAGCATTACCCTGCAGCACCACGTGAGGACAAACAACTTAACTTAGAAAAGAAGAGAGTGGTTCACATAGACAAACTCAAAACACTGAAGCAAAATATTTATGAAAGTAAATAATGAAATGCAAATCATACAGAAATGAAATGTCAAGTGAGTCTCCAGTGTCATAATGCTTCATGTAAAATTCTAATACACCTCTACAACTAGAAAAATATTGAATAATGTGAACATTAATTTTCACTTTCTCAATTCAAAACTATATATTTTTTTAACTTTAAACACTGTTGTCTGCCATTGGCTGAATAATCCTGACAGATTATTAACAATAGTACAAGAAGGAGTACTTCTTTATGAGCTGAAAGTAAACTGATCATGAACAATGATTTTTTAGAGTAAGCACTCTGAAATCAGTGATGTTCTCAGAACC